AGTTCGATTTCTGTGTTTTCATTCATGCAACAATTATGACGAATCTAACATTAATGGTCTGTGATTCAAACAAAATAAGTGATACACTCTTACCTTTAACAGTCTAGCCAAGATGAGACTTCAAATCTAGGCAAAAAATCTTACTTTGGCACAGCAAAAATGATTTTTTATGTAACTACGAAATAAACACGTCTGCGTTAACCTCATTTCGCTGAGCAGTGACAGTAACAAGCTCGAACGTGTTCCTAGTCGCACGAGCCGTGGCGTTACGGGACCGTGGTTTTTTACTCATTGTAACAACTTACCTCTGTAACAACTAGCCCCGCCTTCCCCTATTAATAAAAATCAAAAACTTTGCAATAGTTGTCTTGATTCTGCTGGGTCAAAAACATATAATCCTAAAGTGCAATATTCACGGTTAGTTAGTCTAAAATGTTATCGACAAAAAACATTATTTTTTGTAAATGATAACACTTTTCAATATTTTCTTAATATGTATGCCATTATTAACAAATATTTACCTTCAATAAAGGGCATAAATTGCGACATTTGTAATTTTTTTATTGAGAAATTAAAAAATATTAAATGCGATTCAATAAAATATTGTCATGATTTGGCAAACAAAATAAAATTACGTTTTATAAAATATAAAATAAAAACAAATTGTCGCAGAGGACGATTAGATAAACCTGTCTATGATAGTAAAACCATGGCTATGCATGCATCAGTCAAATAATATTTTATTGTTAACATCTTAAATATTTTTATTCTATTACCATAATATTTTATTCTACTAATACTTATTTGCCATTATCTTATTTTGATATAAGCATATATATCTATATTTATGTTGAAATTTTATGTTGTTTATTACTAATTTGTGTTTATGCTTATATCATTTATTATTTATAAAAATTTATAAAGTACTCATTTATTTCCTTTTTTTAAATAAAAAGCAATGTTAAATTCATATTTGCTTTCATTTCCCGCATTTCAATATCCCCTTCTTTCGCACTTTTACTCATCATACATTGGCTGCGCCATTCCGTATCCAGCCAATCAAAAGTTGGCTCATCATTGGCCAGTCTCTTATTATAGTGTCTCTACGCGGGCCAAGCGCGCGTGCATTAATGTAAGCGTACCGCTACAGGTTTAAGAGACAAATTAAATAAGCTAAGGTACATGTGATGATGCTCAGATATTAGATACTGTAAGTATTGTAACATATTATTTGATATTTGGGTTAAAGTAATTATATCATTTATTTCTTTAAGATTTAAATAAAA